GCCCGCCCGCCCTCCGGGGTAGCGGCCTGTCGCCCGAGCCTCCCCGCGCCCTCCCGCCCAGCCTCGCCATGGCGCTGCGGCGCCTCCTGCTGCTGCTGCTGCTGCTGCTCTCTCTCCAGTCCCTGCACCTGCTGCCCGGCGCTGACGCTGCCCGCGGTCGCGCCGCCAACCGGACCCTGAGCGCCGGCAACGCTGCCGTCGGGGGCCGCAAATCCGGGGGCGCCCTGGCCCGGGGCGGCCGCGAGCTGAATGGCACCGCCCGGGCATCCGGAGTCCCGGAGGCGGGGAGCCGGCGGGCACAGTCCGCGGCGGCGGCGGCGGCGGCGGCGGCCAGCGCGACTGTCACTTACGAGACTTGCTGGGGCTACTACGACGTGAGCGGCCAGTACGACAAGGAGTTCGAGTGTAACAACAGCGAGAGCGGCTACCTGTACTGCTGCGGCACCTGCTACTACCGCTTCTGCTGTAAGAAGCGCCACGAGAAGCTGGACCAGCGCCAGTGCACCAACTACCAGAGCCCCGTGTGGGTACAGACGCCCAGTACCAAGGTAGTGTCTCCGGGGCCCGAGAACAAGTACGACCCGGAGAAGGACAAGACCAACTTCACCGTCTACATCACCTGCGGGGTGATCGCCTTCGTCATCGTGGCGGGCGTCTTCGCCAAGGTCTCCTATGACAAGGCCCACCGCCCTCCACGAGAGATGAACATCCACAGGTGAGAGGCGTTGCTCGGTGCCTGCCCGTGTCTCCCCGGGTCTCCACCCCTCTTAATAGGCGTTCTGTGTCCTCTTCACGCACACTACACACGTCTCGTCTCCCTAAGTCACTTCCACCATCGTTTCTTTTACGTGCAATAAATCTTGTAACTCTCCTCCATTCCTTAAACACCAGGAAGGCATGCTTCGGAGTTCCAGGGATTTGCAAGGCAAAATGAGAATTGGTGGACTTCTATAATTAGACCAATTCTCTAATCCCCAGAGGAGACCCAGGGTTCTGTTTTTATGGTGTGTTGACCACACTTAGATTTTTTTTTTTTTTTTCAGTCAAACCAGAGTGGCACCTTGATATGAGGAACCAGCTAGTGTGGAACCTCACTGAAACCTCACTGAAAAGAGTAGCAAGTGGGTTAGTATGAGCTGGGATGTCCCCAGGTATTAAGGATGAGAAGGTTGGCTGCCTCTGCTGGGACTAAGGAAAAAAGGTTTCTCATTTCCTGTTGACCAAGCACAGATGGTGTGTCTTAGAGTGGGATGCTTATCTTTCCTGCTGAGGACTTGTTCTTTCAAGCCTGTAGGCAGAACTCTCTGAGTTAATAGTTCTTACTGTGTTCAGCCTGGTTGCGCATCTTTTACTGCACACATGGTAAAGACCCTTCCCAAAACTTACACCAGAAGCTTAAAACATGGTGGTTCATAGTTCCATTCTGATTACCCCACGCCCCCCGCCCCCTGTCACTGGCTTCCAGGGTGATCTTTGGAAAGTTAAAGCGAAAGGGACAGCGGGAACCCAGCTTCTCCTTTAGGATCTTCACACCCAGGGGATGCAAAGTCAGCTCAGCTTCCAGTGCCCACATGAAGATGAATGGTTTGATGTGGCTCACCTCAAAGCCCTATGCCAGGAAAAACTTCCATTCCTAGCACAGGAGTGGGCACTGCCCTAGTTTCCAGGCTAACCCCCTGTCTAGTGCTTGAGTTAGCCCACCAGGTCTTCCTCAGCACATCTACACTTTGCTCATTTTTGCATCCTGCTTATTATCCTCATAGCTTGGAAACCTCATCCCCTTCTTGCTGTGGACATTAATTGCATGTGCCTTGGTGAAAAGAGGAGACAGGCAGAAATTTCCAGGCATGCTGAAAGCTGATCACCACCCCCACACCCTTTGATAGTGTGGGTGTTGGAAAAGATGATCCTCCCTGTCAGATTTTATTGACAAATTCGGTTAATGTGCAGTTTCAAACTCAAGTGCTAGAATTGGGATGATTCCAGAGGGAGTATCCCTCTATAACCTCTCATCACCTGAGCTGGTCCCTACCCTCTTCCTCTAGCCACTCTTACTCAGCATCCCTTCTGGCTTGGGCTGGAATTGTGAGCAATGGTCTGTGGTCAGTCCCTACTCTCAGTACAGAAGACAGGGGGACTGTGAACAAAACACGAGCACCACTCCACTTCCATTGAGTCTGGTCTGGCAGAGAATTCTCTCTTGACTCAGCTTGAAAAGCAGAGAAGGAATTGCATGGGTGCTGAATTGCTGAAGCACGGTTCCTTCTCAGCTACCCACCTTTGCCCCAGGACTGAGGCTTATCTCTCCTTTCTCCTCCTGTCTCATCAAACTTGCTGTGGCTCTTGCCTCTTTTTGGTTGATTCTCACACCTTTCTTGGACTTTCTTCTCTGGGCCATTTTGTCTGTACTTTTAGAGGACGCTGTCCCCTGCCCTGCCCTTGCTGTCTCATACAGTTTGTTCCCCATGATAATATAGTTGTGACCTCAGATTCTGGGATTAGGCATCTTTGAATATGGACATTGGTATGTGATTCAGGAGAAACCACTGTTCTTGATGTTTGTCCCTTCTTCATCACAGACACTTCTAATCCCACACTGGGGTAATTACAGTGACACCATTGGGTCAGTTTCTCTCTGGGGTGGGAGAAGAGGAGCTTTAACTATGAGAAGGGAGCTGAATTTCAGGCCTTAGACCATTATGTAAATATGTGATATTTCTCCCTCAAGTTCACCCTCTGATTTCATTCAGTTCACAGCATCCCTCCCAGCAGCTGCAGTCTCGCCTGATCAGTGCTTTGGGAACCTCCATACCAGTGCTGCTTGGATAGGGGACAATGCTTGTCAGTATATGTGTGGTGGGGGGAAGAGGAGACAGGAGGTAGGAGATGAGAGCTTATCTGTGACACTCCATGAGTGACCTTGGGCAGGTCAGGGAACTTCTTGTTCAGTTCTAGGTAACTCTGGTAAGGCAGCATCCCACCTGAACCTCTTCCAAGTGTGCCAGGTGAGTGCTCACATCACCCTGACATGTATCCCTGGGTGGGAGTGTGGGGCTCATCTCATTCTACTCAACCCCAGAAGCCACTGCTTGTCTCTGTTCCTGGGGGGGTTAGTGCAGGCTGTCTTGTTGGAGAGGCAAGGTAGGGCAGAGAGCACAGTGATGGAGGAAATACATACTCACACCGTAATGAGTTTTTCCTAGGGAAAGTGGGGAGACATAAGAATGTTCAATGTCAGAGGTCTAGTGGGGAGGTGGCATGTGCTTTCAGTTGCAAACTCTTTGAAATAATGCAGTCAAGACATCCTTACTGAAAAGGAGACTAGAACTGTTCTAATATGTGGGCCTCCCTGAAGGCATGCAGATTAGAATCCCTCCTTTGGGCAAACTGTTCAGAGTCTGAGGGAGTTTCAGTGAGAATGGCCTCATTGCAAAGGGATACTGCAGGAGCTTGAGAAGGCTTAAGAGGAGGGATTGACCATCTGCTCTGCCTTGGTGTTCCCAGGCTGGGTAGCCCTCTGCCTGCTCTTTCCTTCTCCTGCAGGGAAGAACAGATTTCACCTTTTCCAGAAGTGATTAGCCCTTGCGAGCATGATTCTGCACCAGAAGTTAGTGTTTGGAGGGGAACAACCAACTGCCTGCTGATTCCAGCAGAGATGCACGTGGGAGTGATGCGAACACACCCCATTAGCTAGTTGGAACTGGGGGTGAAAAAAGAGATACTAGTTCTGTATAGGGATGTCTCACCTTCCTGACTGAACCCCATTTCTACATTCCATTCTTTACTTGCCCCGTTTTAGAACTGCCCAGGCTGGAGCTGGAGCTGACAGTCTGCATGCCG